TATATATACCGCCATCTGTTAGAATCTTATCGAACTAACAGAGATAATCATGACTCTTTGTTAATAAACAAATAATTTTTCAATAAAATAATATTGCGATTATAAATTGAGATATAAACTATTCTATCTTTTAAGTTGGATGAAACTGCATACAGTGTGCAAAATTTTATTCAAATCGGTTCAGTAGTTTAGAAGTTCATTGCGGACAAACAACGTGACACGTAATTTATATACATTAAGAAGATAAGATATATATATATTATAACAGTAATAATAATTATTATTATAACTAACATGAAAGATGTTCAAACGAATAAAAAGAAAAAAAAAAAAGTATGATGAGAAAAAACAATGTGAAAATGAAAATTTGTGCAAATGAAAAAAAAGTAAAAAAAAAAGGAAATCACGATGGAGAAAAGTGAACAAATCTTTTCGATAAAGCTAATACAGAATATATCGGTAGATTATCGATCCCCGTACAGTAAAAATAATGAAAGAGGAAGAAAAAGGGAGAAAGATGGAAAATAAATGAGTAGGTAACGTTGAAGCGCAAACAGTAGAACGTAAATAACCGTAAAAAGAGCTCGTTCGGGAATTTACTTGCTCGTACGATAACGTACATATGTTTTATAAATGCATCAGCCTCTTTTTCTCTTTCTCTCTCTCTCTATTTCTCTCCTTTCTAAAGTAATCGAAAGAAAAACTCTTCTCGTGAGTGTCCGTTCATGTATGTAAATGTTTATGTGTCTGTGAAGACAAGATTTATGGATAATGAGATTTATCGAATAAACATTCCCCATTGGTTTTTATTCCCTATCGAGGTTACTGTTTAAAACGTATACAAATTTCTTTTTTTGTTTTTTTCCTTCAATTTAGAACATTTTTCTAATCCTTCTCTATGCTGTTGTATATTTTTCTTGGTTTTTTGTTGTTCTTTATTTTTTTTTTTTTTGTATTCTTTTAAATTATAAATTTCAATGTACAATCGATTATTAGAAATGTTTAACAAATTGTCTTATTTTGTATATTATATAAAATACTATCATTTGATTGGAAATATTTTTAAAAATTTTTTCAATGATTTTATGTACAATTTAGAAATGAGAGATAATTACTGATATGTTTTAAACATTTTTAATCGCAAAGTAGCGTTTTAAGATAAATGATGTGTCTCATTAGAAAACTCTCCTATGTTTTAAACAATAGAATAAGTTAGAACGAGAGAAATAGAGAAAAGTTCGGAACTAAAGGAAGAAATCAGTAAGAAAGATAGAACTTTTCATTAGTTTAACTACCAATTTACTTATACTTAGCTTTGCATTTACAAGAAATCATTACTTATTCAAGGATACATGAATACTCTCAAAAGAGAATAGAAGAGACATTTAATGTTTCATGTGTGTGTTTGTGTGTGTGTGTGGTTCTTTTATAAAAGAATTAAAACTAAACGAGATACTAATTATTTCATCTTATTTAATTTTATTCAACCTGCGTACATTTGCACATGCTTGTAATAATAATCTTTAAAAAAAAAAAAGATCTATATTTTTTTTATCCACAAATTTGTATTATAAAAGAAGATCAAATTGTAATATTTTTTTATTATAGATCCACATATCCGTTATGATTTACATGAAAAAAAAAAGAAACTTCTTTTCCACTAGATCGAAGAAAAATGATACAATTTTGAATATTGAATCAACGTGAATGTCGTTAGGATTATTATTCTTTACAAGTTCGAGACTTGTAACGGGAGGATTTGATTTTCGAAGGAAACATCCTTATTCTATTCGGCATATCGAATAAAGTGTCTCTATCGGTTTTCAATCTGGAAGTGTAGTGCGATTACGTCGATAAATCGATATGCCGTTATGTATCTACACTAGGATAACTATTTCCACGAGAAAATTCCTGGATAAAAGTCATCCTAGCATAAAAACGTTTTATCTCTTCTACGTCTATCTACTATGTACAATATATATATATATATATATATAGATGGGTCTGTGAATGCATCTATATACTATTTAGATATTTACTATGTATATATGTATGTATTTACGTGCCGCTGGGTACATTCGACTGGGATCTTGAACGTCGGCAGGATTCGTTAAAGTTTACGAGTTCGAAGAACAGGATTTCGTCGATTCACCTAGACGTACCTTAGAACGATGTTTAAATCGAGTAAATGTCTCCGCAATCACCTTGTTCGCTTCTAACAACAACGTGTTATATAACCAACGTAAGTGTAAGATTGGGTCATTAACCTATTTTAGTCACAATACGTTTGATGGTCACGCAAACTTTCTGTCTCAAGGAATGCAGGAATGTCCTTTCATTGTTATACACGTTTATCAATGACTTACCCTCATACGTACTATACACGCGCACAAACAATTCAAATTAAATTAAAGAATAAACGAACAAAAAGAAATATTTGTAAGATAAAATTGAATGTATGCAAAATTTGGAAGAAGAAAAATGTGATCTTGAAAATCATTTAGGATCATCGAGTCTTGTAATTAGATTAATTCATTTGATTAACGCCAATATATTTTATAATTAATCGATTATTCGAATTTATTGGAAGTTCTTGAATGTATTGCGGTATTTTTTCTTTTGTTTTTTTTTTTTTATTTTTTTTTTATTAAATCAAACACTCGATAGAGAGAAAGGTATTAACAAATCGGATAGAAACGTTTTCGTTCATTGGATTTTTGCGTTACCGTATTCGTTCAATTTCAACGTCAATAAGTAATTGAAATCAGTGCACGTGTATCAAAATCGCAAACGCAATTACTCTCACGTCGATACATTTTCCAGGTCCATTTATATATAACGCATATATATATTTGGTCATCGTTAAATTTGATTCCTTTTACAAACAAACGTGAAATTTTTAGGGAAATTATTCATCGGATAGAAAATTTGAAACTGTGCGATATATTTCTAGAGGGTGACTCATTACGTGAAATATCATTACCGAAATGATTTCTTTTACAATGTGATTTTTTTCAAATATATAAAAGAACGTATATATTTCGAAAGTGTAATCAATAGATCGAGAAGAAGTGTTCGTGTCTAGGGTGAAGAGGGATGAGTCATCGAAACGTTTTTTTATTCTTTTAAAGAGAAAAAAGAAAAAAAAATTAAATAGGAAAAAAAAGCATATCAGCCCCTACGGGGCATGTAGAAAAGCTCACCAGTGCTATTTATCTCGCGAGATGATCGCATTAAGATTGGGTTACATCGTAATTCACTATGCTCGTAAAAAAAACCACCTAAGTTTTGTTACCATCCGTGCAAAATACTGCAAAATAAGTAAAAACTTGAAAATAGAAAAATAAAAAGTAATAATAATTTCGAATAAGCGTGATAGTTTAAATTTTAACATCTAGGAAGATTTATCTTTCAATAATTACGAAAATAATTTGTAAATGTATTAAAAAAAGAAAATGTTGATTGATCGTATTTTAAAATATTTCGAAATTATCGAAACACACTGTTTATAATAAAACGTTGCTATACTGATTATATAACAAAGTTTCATTTAGACAACTTCAGCTTTACTATTTCGGTCTCGTTTAGGTATTGACAATTAATAATTACTGTATAATATTGAGTTCAAACGATAATTTAAATATCCCCACTCCTATGTTTAAAATATACAGAGTGGTTCGATAATTATGTGAGGATACTTTTAAATATTATTGATCAAAATTTGTTTATAATAAAATTTGAAGCTTTATTCCTAGAATTTTGTAAATGATAAAACCATTTTTTACGTTACACGATATTATCAACGTAAAACGTAGTAACTACATACTCATTAAAACGAATAATTAGAACTGTCTAAAAAAAATAAATAATAATACCTTTCAATTACAAGTTCATTGAAGTATTTAATTTGTAATATGTAGGTGATGGTGTATAATTCTTTGTCTAAAATTACAAAGCTAAATTAACGCATCCTGCTGGATCACGAAGCTTGACGAGCGTGCTACGAACTGTGAACCGTGCCATCGTTTATATCGACATTCTGTCATACGTGACAGAGTTCTAAGGTCCGTTTTAACAAGACACGCTGATTTTAAATACCCTATATATATATATACATACATACATCATCAATCTCTACAATTTCTTCCTATTTGATACGACCTTCTTTTATTTTTCTCTTTAACATATTCTTATTTTTCCACGGATATTTTTCCTTCAAATTAACATATATTTCATATATCATACCTATCCTACTTTATTACTTTTTCCCCCCTTATGTTTTTCGCGTTCACATACGCGTACATATTATATCGTTGAAAACAATTTTCGTTGAAAAAAAAAAAGTATATATTTTTATTAAAATTTCGAAATTATATTTCAAGCGAAATCGAATAAATACATGCACGCATCATAAACACACGTACGAATATAATATCGATTGACTGTCTAGGAACATTATTATATGCAAATTAACCATATTATTCTTTGATAAACAGCTTTAAAAAGACTAAGCAAAGCATCGAATCGATATTTTCGATTACGATCTATTACAGTCGCCATTTCTAAGAACACTTATACATTACGAAGCGAGAACGATCAAACCAAACGATACGTCCTTGTGGATTTATATAAACTTTTTATTTCTCCGTCTGTCTTTCTTTCTTTCTTTCTCTTTTTTCTCTCTTATTGAATAATAATTCCATAATAAAAAGAAGAAGTACTTTTAAAGTCAAAAAAAAAAAAAATAAAAAAAACGAAAAGAGAGAAAAAAGGTTGTAGTAGACGGTAAAGATGGGGTAAGGCGGGTAGGAGGGCGGAGGGGAGATTGAAGAGGGGGTGGTAATCCAGACACGAGCTAGACGCGAACTTCTCAACGAAGGACTTGCGTGTTCGATGAAAAAATTTGAAAATAATGAAATAAACGGAAGAAGAAAAAAAAAAAAAAGAAAAGAAAAAGAAATAGAAGAAGAAAGGAAGTAAAGATGAATAAGTAAACTCACCACCATTCTTGACGTCCTCCTTTGCTTCTTCAGCAGCTGGCTGGACGCTTTCCTTGCTCGTGTTGCAGCCCATTTTCTTCTTCTTCTTCTTCTTCTTCTTCTTCTTCTTCTTCTTCTTCTTCTTCTAGTATTATCTCTTTCTCCCTTTTTCACTCCTTCTTTCAACCCTCCGAATTATCCTCTTCTCTTCGTCCACGAACAGCAACCACCACCACCACCACTTCTTCCTCTTCTTCCTTCTCCTCTTTTTCCTCCACCCTCTAGACCGGCTACCGGCGGCACTCCCCGTTTCGCGACTCTACTCTTTCCCCTTTTCTTCCCTCTTCGTATCGTCGTCAAATCGGCTCACCAGTTAACATCCATGATATACCTAATGATATAATAACAATGATAATAAATTGAAATAAATATGTATATATCTATTTACAAGGAAGAAAAACTATAATTAATTATCTAATTGTATAAATATTATTATTGTTATTATTATTTATATACGTGATAATAAAAATGATAATATAACACATAGACAATTTATTATAATTATTGAAAAAAAAATTGAATAAAATGGAAGATTAGTCAGACACAGTCAGGAAAACGACAAACTATTACGACTACGAATACGAAAACGAGAACGAGAACGACTACGACTACGACTACGACTACGACAACGAATGACGACGAATGTCGACGATAGATGCGAACTAACGTACCTCCTCTCCCCTTATCTCTTTTTCTTCCTCTCCTCTTTCACCACCTTCTTTTTCTCCTCCTCGAATATTCGACGATCTTCCGTATCCACCGCGAGAAATATTCTCCCTTATATTTTTTTTTCTTTCTTTCTCTCTCTCTCTTCCTCTCTCTTCGTTTCTATCCTTGCGTTCGTCCTCGAAGGTCAATGGCCACGGTGCGCGAGTGTCCTATGTGTATATGTATGTGTGTGTGTGTACTTACTACCCCTTTACTATCACCTCTTCTCACCTATCTTTTTTACTGGTTTGTTATGTCTGTTAAAACTCCCTCGTCAAAGATACTTCAAACAAATCCCCCACCACTACTATTACTACTACTACTACTACTATTACTTTTTCTTCTTCTTTTTCTTCTCTATGATCTTAACACATTGCTTATCTCTTTATCACATCATTTTTTCTTTGGTCGACTTTTATCTTACTCGATATATTATACCGAAAAATGAAGAAGGATCGGCTTCTTCACCAACACACAATCTACAGGAGGGGAAGGTACGTTGATTCCATCGGCACGAGACTGAGCTAAATGAGTAAGCTTCACAGTTTTATGCATATATATATATGTCCAATATATTTATGTGTTTTCTGTACGTATACGTATGTTTCTATGTGGGTGTCTCTCTGACAATGATAAAGAGACAGAGAGAAAGATAGAATGAGAGATAGAGAGAAAGTAATAGAAGGGGTAGAGAATGAGAGAGTGAGTGAATGAGTAAGAGAGAGAGAGGGAGGGAGAGAGAGAGAGAGAGAGAGAGAGAAAGAAAATTTTCACGAGCAACCCCCGAAAGCACGAAGGACTCACGTCGACGACACGGGGCGTACTGACGACGCTCTCTGCCGACGACCCTGCCCTTCGTTGCGCGAATACTCTTCTACCACTACGATTACTAATACTACTACTACTGTTACTACTATTACTATTATTATTACTACTAACACTCTTACTCCTAAACACACCGATATTTCTCCTACAGGCTTATTCAAAAGTCATAACCTTCTTTAAATAAAATACACCTACGATACGTTCTTCTATGTTTTCTTTTTGTTTGACTATTTTTCCCTCCCTATTTGACATTTCTTCACTCCTTCTCTTTCTCTTTTCCTTCTTTTATTTTATCCGTTTTTATATTAGATATATAAATACATGGGAATGTTAATGTATATGTATATGTGTATATATATACTGCTTTTCCCTATAATCGTTTGTGGTGGCGCCATCTTTACTATGGTTAACATTTTCTTTATATTTCATGTTGTCGGTCCTTTTTGCAAATGCTTTAGGAATGTTTTAAGATGTGTGTGTGTGTGTGTTTTTTTTTAATTTAATTGTTTGTACACATGGTGAGAGATTGAACGATTTGATTTGTAGAGTGGATTAGAAAATATTAATGATGATTTTATAGAAAATGTTAATTATTTATGCTAAGTATAGATGATTCTAATTGTTTTTTAAATGCGGATCTTAAAAATATTGATAAGTGATTTATGATTCTCTCATTTATCTTTATTATTTATAAAATCGAATTTCATTTACTTGCTCGTAAATAAGTGAAGGATGATATATTTAATTTTTTTTTTTTTTCAGAAAGAAAAAACACGTTTTTAATTATTACAATTCACTTAGTCGTAATTGTTTTATTTCTTTTATTACGATTTCGAATTAATTATGATTAAAAAAGTGAAAAGCACAATAAGCAATGAACATAGGTATTACTTTGTTTATAAGAATGAAAAATAATTATTTTTGTGTACAGAAAAATAAAAAAGAAATATACAACATCGAATAGCACAGGAAACAATAAACATTTTACTTTATTTATTATAATTAAAATAATTAATTTTCCCGTGCAGAGAAATAGAAGAGGAAGTATGTAATATCGACAAATTTGTTAATCGATAATGCATTCTGTGCCGTATCATTTCGATCTGTTACATTAAATTTATTCAATCATGGAATTCTCAAATTGCATTTAATGGATATGAATAAAATCATTAATAACGTTGTATTAATTAGAAGAAAACAATCATTACTACTGTAATGCTTGTAATAGGAATTATTTTTAATAACAACTGTTACGTCAATTTAGTTGTCATTTGGTAATTTAATCATCCCTTTTATTTATACTAATTAAAAATATTTGTAAGTATTAATAAAAATGAAAAATATGTAAAACAGTTGAAGAATGTGATATTTTTCAATACAAATATCCTGGAAAAATCCTGAAAAGATCTTTTTAATCCGTATAATTCGTTAGAAGCCTTGTTATTGGCTAGACTGGTAGACTATTGCCAGACGGGCGCCAGTTCCTTCGTATACTTCACGTTTTCTGGAACGAATATCGACCTCTCCTCGTCCTGATTATTCCTCGCGATTCTTTATCACGCATGTTTTACTTTTCTCCTTTCACATATATGATACATAATGTGACTTTAAAATTCTTTTTATCATCTTATATAATATATATATATATATAATTTCAAAGTTTTCAAAGTTTTGTTGTTGTAGTAAATAAAACTTAAATCATTCATTTCATCAATCGAAAGCTCATAAATATTTTCTACGCGTTACCTGAATACATCATTTTAATTTTCATTTTAATGAAACAAAAAGAACAAGAATTCATTTATTCGACATAATCCTTCATTATGTTACTATAATTAAATTCCATCGCGTCATGTAATTCAATATGAAGCCGATAGAATTCTCTTTTTTATATTATATAAAATAGCATATAATAGAACTTTGAATAATTCAATAGAAAATTGTGAAGTACATGACCGTGCATTTAATTTACAAATTATCCAACTATTACAATAGTACAACTCGGAATATTTCAAAAATGCATTCCAATGCATGCATTTATCGACAATTAATAAAGCTAATGCTTAAACTTTTTTCCAAAAAAAAAAAAAAAGAAAACAAACAAGAAAACAATTAAATAAACGACCACAAAATAAATTGTACAAATTACGTTTAAAAAAATGATTAAAAAAAAAGGAGCATACCGAGTAAGTTAAAATAATGCAACTAGATTCGTTGTAACACGATCGTGTTTGGATTCGTCTGATGAGAACGATCGTCTCTCTGATTGGTTGAAAAGCAAGATCGTGAACAGGTAGGGAGCGAAAGTGAGCTGAACAGTAGTGAGTAACCAAGAATGGTCAGGAGTGCGTGTTGTGTGTTTCACGAGAGTGCTACGAGTTGGGTTCGTGGTCGGAGTGTTTCAATATTCTTACGGATTCTCCAATTGCATACAAGTTCCTTTCATTTATTGTCTTGGGATAAAAAGAAACAGAAAGAGAGAAAGAGAGATAGACAGAATAAAAATAACACAAAGTGTTCCATCAAAATGTCGACCATATTGAAGAAAATTGCATTAAATATATTTTTACGCGAAGAGAACAGAATAATGTGAATAATTGAAAAAAAAAGAAAAAAAAGAATTTAAAAACGTGGGCAAGGTTATGGGCGTGCTCAAAGGATTCCTTTTCAGTGGTTCTCATTTATTCGTCATTCTGTTGGATATCAAAGAGAAGCTTGTTTCCTCTTGATCGGTGTAACGTGAAAATAGTTGTGACGTAAGCACCTGTGCGTAAACTCGTCTCTCGAAGATATATCTTCTCTCCCTCTTTTTCTATTTTTTTCTGTTTCTTTTTTTCTAAATATATATATTTATTTTATATATATCTATATAAAAGGAAAAAAGGAAACGCGATAAGAAGAAAAGATGACGCGTAAACTGAGCAAGTTTTTGATATTCTTCGACAATACTAATCTATTATACTTTCCCGGTCATTTCTTGTCCGGACGTGTGCTCATCGAGCTCGACGATGAAGCATAGTAAGTTATTCCATATACGTTTCACTTTCTATTATGTATCAGTCTGTTTCTATAATAAAAATTCGAAATATATCTAGCAGAAAAACAATATGGCGTTGTTCTCAACTTCGCATTTCATATCATTTTAACACTAAAATTATCAAATCCTTTTAAAATGATTCCTTTTTCAATTAATTTCGATGTCATAATTAACACAAATATATGAACTATCTTTATTTGTTTTGATTAAATTAAATAGAGTATAAACAAAATAAATAACGAGAAGATAAATATTGTTTTTCAATTTATTCGATAAATGTGTGCCGATATTTCTAGTGTTAATAACAAAAATAATGAATACCTCATTAAAGATAGCGTTTTTCAATGAATATTTATGAAATCATGCATGTATTTATGCATTTATGTATATAAATAAAATACTAAGTAGGTGATTGATTGATAATTTGTCGTCAAAGTATAATGTAACTTTCTTATCGCATTAAAATGCCTTTCGCGTTTTCCAAAACTTTTTAAAAACTCATTCACGTGTTCCATCAAAACGTTTGCATGTACAACAACGGTATAAAAGACATAGAGAATTTCTTTGGCATTTTAATTAGATTTATTCCGTCAAATATGTTTCTTCTTTTGTTTATTGAAGCATGAAAAGGTGAGAGGTCCTTTCTTGACAAAAAATGTATTTCCGATCATTATACTTTATGATATCATTTATTTATAATAATAGACTGAATTATCTAATAATAAAAAAGAATACAACACGTATATGCACTTGCAATATATAAAATGATCGTAACGCCTTACTACCTCATATTATTTTTTTGTTTAAAAATAATAAGTGAACGTATGCATGTGCATATATTTATTGACGTCATATACTGTTATAATCATTTATTTAATAATAATAATTATTATTATTATTATTATAAAAATGTGTTAGTACGGTTACTGAAACGTATTCCAACAACATTACTTACGCGTGACAAAAATAATAATTATTACGAAATAACAACGGAAACGGAAATGTGAGCTGAACTTGATTTTGTGTGACGAAAAATAATATTTTTTTTCCTGCTTTTTCCGGAATTTCTCATATTCTGTAAAGGAAGTAGAAGAGAGTACCGGCGGCGTCGGCATATTATGCCAACGTTCGTACAAGAGATGCTTCCTTTGCAATTTATGGTACAATAAACTCCACGAAGCATTGTATGTATTCCCATACATATACAAAACCTTGGTTCCTTAATAACATACTCTCTCTCTCTTTCCTTAACTTACTGCGTTATTTCAGCGTCTCTGGATTGCATTTTCACGTTGTTGGTGAAGGAGTCGTTCGTGTTAGAAGCCAACGTGCTGAAAGGGTCTACGATAAAGAGAACTACATAGATTTTCGAATGAGACTTCTTGGCGAACCAGGTAATTCTAATTTATTTTTATCCATTACCTAAGGAAGAAGAAAAAAATGACATAATACGGCGACATTTTATTGGAAAATATTTTTCATTGAAATATTCATTAAATTACACAATTACTTTATTAAATATTCATTGTTTCCAATAAAATACTTAATATTTTGATGGTTTACATTTTCTTATATTGTTGTTTGTTGTTCTTTCTAAAATTGAAAATATATTATTAATTGTTCAATTTGATGTTTTATATTCAGGGGAAGGACCGTCGCTCTTATCACCAGGGATTCACAGTTTTCCTTTTAAATTAGGCTTACCTTTGGGATTACCATCAACTTTCTTAGGTAAACATGGTTGGGTTCAATATTATTGCAAAGCAGCGCTACGAGAACCAGGTGGATTGACGCATAAAAATCAACAGGTTTTCATCGTTATGAATCCAATCGATTTGAATCTCGAACCACCGATTTTAGCGGTTAGTTCATTAAATAAATTATTAATTAATTATCTTATTTTTGAGATATACAAATTTTGTTTTAAAAAGATTAAACGTGAAACGTTCAAGATAAACTTCGATATAGATATGTTAATTCGATGCTATATTTCTTATTTTTTTTTTTTTTTACTATGAAAGTATAATGATATAATTAATGTTCGTAAAATTAATGACAAGAAAAACTTGAATATTTTCTTCGAAATAGGGTCGACCACCTCGTAAAATTAAAATATACGCTTTCTTTTACATGATTAAGATTAAACGAATCTTCCAAGCGTATTAATAAAACCGGGTTTCAAATATCGGTCATTGACTTTTATGAAAAGAATTTTAAATGTTCGTATTCCTATGTGCCAAAAAGATATTTTGAAAATTACATTTATTTAAATTAAACTAGAACTATCATTTATATTAAAAGAATAATTTCAATTAATCTATTATTAATTTATCTTTAACTCTATTATCTCACGTAGATAAATTATATTTTTTAAACCTTAACTTTTTCGTTACTGGTGACCCGTATACGGGTCGTTCATGCAGCAAAGACCCCACTGACCCATATAGGGGTCGTATCATTTGACGATACATAGTCACCAACAAATTTTTATGAAACGATACTTGCGCTGAAGCATGTCGTAATGAAAGGGTTAAAGAGGCCACTTGAATAAAAATTCAATTGAAGAATGTAATACATGCATACATTTATACTCATATAAAAGAGGTACGATATTCTTCATTTACGTTTCAAATGACAATGATACCATAAGCAAAAGCAACATGAGATAATAGTTACGTAGGCACATGACATTGAGAATGAAACGTAGCCGCATTATTGCTACTGTTATGCATTTCACGTTACGGTTGACTCGTTTGATCATCGAACAACTCTCTCTCTTTCTAGTTGTGCAACACGTTGAACTTTCAAAATATACCGCCCATAACGCGCGTAACAATGTTACCAACTTACGAAATCTTATACACCCTAGGTTAGTAATTTATTATCTAGTAACTTAATACATTTCTTTCCGTGTGGTTTAGCAACCTGCCAGGCAAGAAATAGAACAACGGGTTGGCGTCTCCTGTGTGTCGGGTGGTCCGGTCTTTTGCAGAGTGAGCTTGGATCGAGGCGGATATGTTCCTGGAGAAAGCATCGGCATCTCTGCTACGGTTAATAATCGTAGCAAGGTACGTTGGTTTATAATTATTACAATATTTTTTCTATTTTATTTCTCATATTTCATTTGTTCTTTTTGTATTAAAAAAGAACCGCATTTTTGATGCACGCACGTGATGATAAACTCTCTCCATGATCGAACGATCATTAAAATCATGATTTAAAAAAAACGCTGATTATCTTGATTAATAAAGAAGAAATATTTAATATATTTTTCTATTTTTGTTATTCACAAAATTGTTAATTAATTTATTAGGTGACGATGAAATCAACGAAAGCTTTTTTAACGGAAACTATTCAATATCTATGCCGTGGAAAGGTGCTGGCTAGTGAAACACGAGAACTAACTAGTGTGTCGAGAGGGAAAATCCGGCCAGGTGAAGGTGAAGAATGGCTAAATGAACAAATGTACGTTCCACCTTTACCACCAACCAATCTCAGAGGGTGTCATTTGATCAACGTACTGTATCATGTTTATGTATGTATTCGAGCTACTTGGATAAAATAATACTCACTTTACGGATTCTAATTCTATGTCTCTTATGTAATGTATTTCTTTCTGTATAGTTCGTTATAAGCCCAAAGAGCCTAGATAAGGAGATAAAACTACAGATACCAATCGTACTGGCAACATATCCGCTAAGACAGGAAGGAGCACCAACAGGTACTGCACCTTCCAAACGTGGAGCACATTACCCTTCAACGCTACCTATTTTTAGACCATGGCTTGACGACAAAGCTTTTGAGATACAAGAATGAATGAATGTATTTATTGTTTCACAATATTTGAAATCATCAAAACGTGTACAATAACCAGAACACGATGTCTGATTTATAAAAATCGGAAAAATCAAAGATAAAATATACTTATAACACTGCTTTCTAATGATATTTTGAAAAAAAAATCGGAAAATGATCGAATTAATATTCTGTGATCCAAATATATTGGATGTTTATTAAGAGTACACTCAAGATCTTTATGTATTAGTTAACTAATTTTATGAAATATTTAATTGAAAATAATTATACTAAAGGTATACATTATATTAATACATTTTTAATGTTTTCAATACTTATATATAGATAGTATATATTTATATATGTTATATGAGATATATCAAAATCCGTCCATTTTAAAATAAAATAAAAAAAGATTAAGATATTTTTAGATTGTCGTATATTGTATGTACAGCAGATACGAGTTATAAAAAGAATAGGAATGATGAAAGAAGAATAATATAATGAAAATGTTAATATCACATGATGTTTATTTAATTACCTATTTCTTTTCTAAATCTTTCCAATGCTTGATCCACTGTAATTCCAGTCGCAGTGATCACTTTTTGTCTACCTTTCGATCCCTTAAAAAGCAATTTAAATAAGTTATATACATATACATGAAATATACAAGAAATATTAAATGAATTACTAACTCGATCTAATGATACATCTGATTTTTTTAAACCTAATACGGATGCTAAATATTTCACGAGTTCAGTATTTGCTTCGCCTTGTACAGGAGGCGCAGATATTGCAACACCTACAGCTTCTTCTGAAATATCTGTGTGTTCCATGTAATTAATATTATTAAAAACTGGAAGTCCGTTGGTTTTTTTTATGAATAAATATTTGGAGACCAGATGTCTTTGTGAAAAGTATGCAATGCATCAGAGAATTTACTTTTTAAATCTCAATATGAATTTTAGTTAATATCTCTTATTTTTTGTACTTTTTTGGCACAAATAAGGTTATGATACAAATGTCTTGGTTCATTGATTAACATAAATAATTTCTTTCAAAAACATCTATGCCCAAATAATTTAGTCTAATTAAAATAAAAACTATTAAAACATCTGATGATAAGTTTATTACCTGTTATACCGTTATTTTTAGCACCAGGTTTAGCTTGAATTTTAATTAATATACTTCCGTCTTTGCTAACAGTTACAGGACCGGTTATCTGTTGAAATAATAAATAAAAATAGGAAAGGTATAAACAAATTTTTGACAAGTTAAATTGTGTATCTATCAACAAACTACAACGTGTGTCAGATTGAAGCTTTAATTTAGCAAGAAATTCGCAAGCGCCATCTGTAAAAGTAGTTTACTATAGCTTAAGTATAGACGAGTGGATCAGAAAATGTTATGTTGTTGCTATAATAGGTGATCGATTATCAATCAGAGTTAGTTATCCTGATTTTTTCGTTCGTTAATTGGTACGTAAAAAAAGATTTACCGTATTATTTACATCAACAACGACGTTCTGAGTTTTTTTAGATTTCTTGCCTCCTTGTTTCGACATTTTTCTAATAATAATAACGTTTCGTATTAATTTATTCCACATTAAGATAAGTTAAGGATAAAGTATCTTCGGACATTTGTGGTAGTTTATTATTTAAGTATATACGTTATTAATTAAATCGTGTTGTTCAATATTGCGTGTCGTTTAACCTCAACAAGTTTAGTGATTGGTGTGTCTGGTGTATTACAGTGTTACCAACCTTTCAACGATTGAATATTTTTAACCGCGTGATTTAGAAAATATGATTCTTTGTTTTTCCATTAGATCATAATGCCTAAGAAATTTGTGGGTGTGAATAGCAAGGCTGTTGCAGCCAGAGAAAGAAAAGCTGCTGCTAAGGAAGCTGAAAATACAAAGAAAGCTTTGGAAGCTGAAGAAAAAGCTTGGCAAGATGATAATAAACAATTGTTAAAGAAAAAACAGAAACAAGTATGTGCAAATGATAGATAGTATTATATTCTAGATTTAAAAGAAATTGTTTCCAATACTTATTGTTTATTTAAAAGATATGTAAATAATTGTTAAACATGTTGATAATAATTATGCAATGTTGTGTCGATTTGGATATAGGAAGAACTCGAAAAGAAGAGACAGCAACAATTAGAAAAGAAGGCAGAAGTTAAAGCTTTATTAGAACAAGAAATGGCAACTATTAAAGTAGGAGGCAAACAACCTATTGCTAAGATTACAAAGAGTGAAATATTGGAAACTATAGAGAGACGTAATCAAGCTGCCAAGATCGAAAAGAAGAAAGAGAAAGAGAAAGAGAAACCGATAGAAGAAAATTTGAATAGAGTTGTTATTGAAGGTGAAAGTGCGCATGGTATAGATGAAGCTTTATCAATTTTAAGGTAAGCGCATTGGAAACTCATAATTTATGAAACTACATGTATGTAGATTTATCTATGTATATATTATAATTGATAATTTTTCTAGCGTCAAAGATCCAGAAGTTGATCGCCATCCGGAAAAACGTTTGAAAGCTGCTTATGCGAGTTTTGAAGAAAAAATGATGCCTATTATTAAAGAACTAAATCCAACTTTAAGGCTCAGTCAATTGAAACAGATTTTGAAAAAGGAGTGGATGAAGTCTCCGGAAAATCCGCTCAATCAGAAGCTGTTTAATAATTGATATTAGCACATCTTTATCAATAGTCTATAATACTTTCACATGACTGAATATAATATTATTAACTTAAATGTTTTACAGAAAAAAAAAAAAAAGAAAAGAAAATAAGTAATATGTGTAAGTATAACGGATCATATTGGTTCACAGTTTTATTGTTAACGAATAATTTATATTCCAAAATGCCATAAGATATAAAAAGAAAATTAACATAATAATATAAAACATCTTTGGTACAACTTATGCCGCGAATCTATAATAGCCTCCGTTCGGTATCTTAAATATTGCATATTGACAGAAGACACTTTGTTGAAGTTAATGGAAAGATTCTAACAAAAAAAAAAAAAAAAAAAATAAAATTAAAAAAATATCTCTTAACAAACATATATAAGTTTTGGCACAGTTATTATGCTGCAAGTGTAGAAGATATTTTTTACAAATTTCGCTATTATCGTATCATTCAATAAAACGTAATAATATAAAAGCATAATCAACAAGGTAGAACTTGACGTAAGAGATTTTCAGTAGCATCAGAAATCTGTCTGTCCTCTCTTTATACGAAATAAGATGATTCCGTTAAAACAAAATTTTAAGTTATCTATAATACAAATAAAAATGAGATAATGTACGCGAAATTTTTCTATGATGTAAGTATGTATGTATGTACACTTTAAAAATTTAATAGAAAAAAAAAAATATAAGAAAGAGGACTATTAATATCATTTATCTAATTTGTTTAACTAACTACGAGTTTTAATACCCGTAAAAAGAACTTGATATTTCGGTGTCGATCATTGCTTATTCGAGATTACATTTTTTCATCTGGAATGAACAATATCGAAATACTAATATTGCTACCAGTTCTTATTCTTCCACAAATCTATGAAACAATGTATCATATGATTCAGTTGATCAGGACAATCCGTCATAGGTGTGTGCCCCGCACTTGGAATAGCTTCGAGAAAAGCTTTTACCATAGTCTAAAAGAAGAAACAAACAAATGAAAAAATGAAAGAAAAAAATTACGTATAGATGTATTATTTTTGTAAGTGTTTTAATTAACTAACCCTTTCCATTTGACACTCTTGTACAAGCGATACTTTGTTATCCTTCAATCCATGTATAAGAAGAGAAGGCGTAAAAATTCTTCTATGGAAAACGTAATCTCCTTCAGGCCAAGCCATCCCATTCAAAACGTATTTCATATGAGATGGCCATTGTTCGATTGGTTCAGGACCACAATAAGGATGTTGACGACCTCTTGCGGAATAGAGTATATCTCTATGAAGGCCGCACATCAAAAGTGGTGACAAAATAGCTCTTAGAAAGCATCGTCCAGCACCTTCTTTCGTAGGCGGTGCCAATGGCGTTGGTCCACCACCGGATATTAGAACAAGTTGATGAATATTGCTATCGTATTTGCAAGCCAATGCTGTTGCAAAACTGCATCTGTAAAAGCATAGACGGCAACGTAGATGACGATGATAATAATAATAATGGAAAGAAGAAATTTTCTTATTGCATCAAATGTTAATTTCAATAACCCACGAACTGGCCACGCAAAAATTATTCAAACGTTACATTACATGTAGGTAGTAATTACCTGGTTAACCATGGACGGTATAAAAAGAAAGTTTCTCAATGATGTGTTCTTCTGTATTATGACATTATCTAACATATGTATATATAGAAATAGAAGAATTAGTTAACAATAATTACCCGTAATTATGTGCTATCAGGATACATTTTTGACCTGGTTTAAAAGCGTAATAATGTAGTACCGTCTCCAGATCTTTCAATAACTTGTTAAAGAGATAATCCTTCGACCGATCAGGCGCTGAGCTCATACCATGTCCTAAAAGATCAGGAGCAATGCAAGGATAACCCATAGCTGAAAAATATTCCAATTGATGTTCGAAAATATCTGCCGATGAACCAAACCCATGTAAAAAAACCAACGTTGGTTTACAATTTCTTCGGAATACAACAAAATCGTGCGGATTTTGTTCGCAATTGGACAATATCGTTGATTCGTCCAAGTTAGGCCAATTTTTTCTATAATCCTCCATCTCCAAAGGCGTCGTTGTTTCTTTTCTAATATTAATCGTTTCTATTTTTTTATCGTCATTACGTTTAGATCTTCTTTCAATATTCATACGAAACCTTGCACAAAATTTCGTTCCCATCGTTTTATCTTTTTTATCAGGAGTTTCCACATTCTCGTTTTCTAATTCTAATCGTACATTTTCAAATTTCGGATCGTCGATCGAACTCTCTAATTGTTTGATATCCATTACGATTTCTTCATCCTTTGTATCATTTTCATTCATTACAACTACATCATTTAACTTACTTAATTTATTTTCTTCATTATTTTCATTAATTTTTTGAGAAGACTCGTTACGTTTTTCATCGTTGTTAGTTCTCAAATCTTCCCAACTAGTTTTCAATGGAGTTCTACCTAATTTTTCATCGATTATTCTTAAGAGAGATTGTTCGAGACTTGGTTCTTGATCAGGTTGAAATTCAATCGTTTCAACACTATTTATACCAGAATCTATGCAATCTAATTGTTCTAAAATGACCTCATTAGAATTAAGTATATAATAATCGCTACAATCGGGATCGTGTGCCGAACCAAGAAAAGCATGATTTAAATATCCACCGCAGCCCGTTGTTTCCACGGTCGTATTTTCATTCTCTTGTCGAATGTTCTGATTATCAGTATGAAAGGAAAAATTAATTTCATTGAATATTTCTTTTTTCTTTGGATTATTTTTCGATGTCAATTCGTCCTGACGAACTATTCTCAATCTGTTCTCCTCATCCGCATTGAATTTAACATTTGTAACATTTTCATTTAAATTGGTAACATAGTTAACCGTATCGTCTAATATTTCTTCGAGCAAAACGTTGATATACCTTTCGAGATCCTTGACTATTTTATTTTTATCTTTGATTTCTTCGTTCGTCGATGGTGTTAAAGGTAAACTTCTCGAAGGATCTGATTCAATTTCATCCTTTGTTTTTCTTTCATTATTATTATCGTGTTTTACGTCGGGTATTTGTAATTTTTGAAGATTAGCCGATACCCTTTGTTCCAGTTCTTCGATATCCTTCGCCGATTTTTCTAAACCTTCGTGAAGACTATTTCTTATACGATTTAATTCCGTCGAAATAATTTCTTCGTCGTTGGTACTCAATCTGCTTGATTGTCGGAAAGAACATCTGCAGTTGTTAGAAGAATGAGGTCTTTTCGACCAGCGAGCAAAAAAATTATCATTTATCGTTTCGGATCTATTGTCATTAGTATTTTCGTAATACCATTCGCCCTTTAAACTTGGCTTTAATACTCTCAACGTTCTACGTGGTCCTACGATGAAGAAATCACAATCCGTTAATTCGACCTTAGCCGGACCAATTCTATTACGATTTTTCCAAAATTCGAAAAATTTCATGTACCATTTTGGCTCGATCGATTCTTCTTTCGTACTCATTATTTCGAATGTTTTCAAATCGATAAGATCATCGTGTCCGATCGTTTAATTAACATAATCGAATTTATTTGACTTTATTTCCACAACCAAATATGAATCTTTAAATTGTATACTTCGTGAACATGAATTTATTAATAATTCATTTAATATACTCTTTTTATGCTACGTCAAACAGTAGGACAAATAAATCAGCCAATCGGCAAAGAGGATTTTTATTCGTAAATGGTAATCGAAATTCGCTTAACGATTTATGTATGGAAGATGATACGTATCTCTCTTAGGCTCTTCCGTTCTTTTGTCTTTCGAACTTTACGATGATGATAATGATTACAATTATTATTATTATTATTATTATTATTATTATTACAATTACTTAAGTAAAGAAATATTTTCGTAAGAAACGAGAGAGCTTGCACAATTTTTTTGTTCCACGAAGGATATAGAAATTGTGATCATTCGTTCGGAAGAAAAAAAAGAGAAACTTTTCCTTCTCTTAGCGAAAACGATGATTTTTCCCGATATGTTTTTTTTTTTTTTTTACCTAGATGAAAATTTCTTCTCTCTCTTTTTAATTATCCTGGTCTTCTAAACTCTATAAACAAAAAGATAAACAAAATGAGAAGGATTATTATATATTAATGTTTTTATTTTTGTATTAAAGGCCAATAGTCAATAGAAAACAAAAAAAAATATAAAAAGATACACTTATTATACTGTCGGTAGGATAATAACGAATGTAAATGAATAGATAATCGTTAGAGTGTATTTCAATGTTTAGTAGCTGTTCTTACAAAGAATCGTCGACTCATCGATATAAATGATAGTCTTTCCTGTTGTGTATGCGTGTGTGCATGTATTATGTTTCCCCGATAGACTATAGAAATATTTCTTGCAGTAGTATTACATTTTCTAACGTTCTCGAGCATCGAGTTAGTTGTTTGTGAAAAATAATATTCATATGCGGACATGCGAATGAATATTATTCTTCACGTTTGTATCATGTTTTAATGTTAATAATAATATTCGCATAATGTGTCTTTTTTTTTTTTTTATGTGTACGATAAATAATAATCGTACGCGTGAGTAGAAACATTTATGTTAAAGGAAGTTGAAAAATATCGATAAATTACTCAACGAGTGAGTTTCTTTGCTAGCGATAAACTTGCTAAATACGGGAGCATTCAATTTTGTTTTTCTTTTTTTTCTTTTTTCTTTCTGTATATGTATTAATCATTATTTATACGTTAATTCTATGATGTTTAAATATCGATACTTATTTTTAATGCGCGCGCATGTTAATAGTTACTTACTTTCCTATGTAAATCGATTTAAATTTTAATTACTGATCTTTACATTTAAATTAATTTCTTTCATTTCTTTAGGTTTTCATGAACGATTTCAAATGATCTCTCTCGCGCGTGTTAATTAATTATCATGTCACTTTCTACGAATTTTATTGAAACATTTTTCTTTATTCTATTTCTTTTTGTTTTGTTTTTCTAATCGATAATTTGCTCAATCTAACTGTCAGTAAAACCGGATCAAGATAAATCGATATTACCTGGCAAGAATGTTTTACATAAACGTACGTTGTAATCATATATTAAATACATTTTCGCAAAAGCATAAATTTTTAGAATAGAAAGTTGGAAATCGTATTATATGAACTAACGGTTCTAACGTTCTTTCTAGTGAGAGTCTCGAATTAGTATTCTTGAATTCTTCATATCATATATATTGCGGTTATCAAACATAAATACATGCAATGCAATACATATATATATATACATACATATAGATCGACTTTCATTTTAGAAAACTTGCGTATCACCAAGATAGAAATCAAAATTAATAATCACAATTAATGTAATTATTAATATTCTCTTTAAGATTTATATATAATTATTATCTTTCTTTTTTTTACGAAACTTTCGTAAATTTTACTTTCATTAAAGAAAATTATTTTCTCGTAATATAATAAGAATTATTATTATTATTATTATTATTATTAAATAATTTATCGTAAATATTATCATTAATACTTTATTTATGATTATTTTCTAAATGTGAAAATAACGAGTAATTATAATTTATTTTCAGTAAACAATTTTCTTATACTAAGGAATTTTGATTATTTGTTAATTAAAAGATTTAAATGGTTTATGTAAATTGTTTATTTTGATAGTGATATTAAGTATAAAGTTCGAATCTTTGATGCAATATGCCTGTAAATCAGAGTTGCTCGAGTTGAAACGTGCTTTTTGTTCGCAACGAAGAGGAGGGTTAAGACTCTTTGCCCTTCGTAAATGCATCCGACCTTCAAAGCACACTCGTCAGATATCAAAGTTGACCGCTGGGAGCTTTTCTCACTCTTCATTCATCGTCGGACACTTGTTGCGTCTATTAGTGGTTCTCAACTTTAACTAATCGCAAATTATTTACAATTCATAATACAAATATTTAATTTTTTTCTCAATCAAGTTTTATTAAAATACTTTTTATTATTTTTTTTTTTTTTTTTTAAATAGATTATTATCTTTTTTTAAATAATTATACAAATATAAATATTATTGAAACGTCAAGAGCTATTTCGATGAGAACCATCACGCGACCGGAGTGAAACGCATAAGAGTATTTTCCCTCTTAACTTTCAAAGAAAAAACAAGCATATAAAGAAAGAAAAAGGAAGAGAGTAATAGAGTAACCCTTTTACAATGATTAAGTACTCTTAATAATCTTCTTATCGCTTAAGAAAACTAAAACTTAACCTTCCACACACCTTAAAGACCAGAATGGCAACCATGCCGATGAGGAAGACACAAACATCACTAACGCAGTAATGTAGTATCACTACTAGTAAGTAGTAATAGCAGTAGTAGTAGTAGTAGTAGTAGTAGTAGTATAGTATAGTATATAGTATAACACAATAGAAGTAAAACAATAATCATAGAACTAACAATGAAAGTAACATTGTGTAAATCATGAGTAGTTTACCAAGATTGATGTCACACTGAATCATATGATGATTTAAATGAAATATTATCTACATATAAAATGAAATCATTTTCAAACTAGGACCAATAGACTAACAGAGAACTCTACTTGCGTTTCGTTGAGGAAAAGGCACGCAAGGACAGGCACACATACACACACATACACACACATACACAAACAGAAACACGTAGAATAATAATTTTCTCACTGTTAACGATCGATTGAACGATCGATCGATCTAATAATTAATTTCAATGAAAAACGAAAATAATAATAAAAAAAATCGATAAGTCGATTATATCGTTTGACCAATCGATTGATACTTGCCCTTCGACCACCTACGACGATCTCAGGAATAAGTTTAATTTAATACTTGTGTGTTGTGTTGATTTCTTTTTTTTTTTCTTTTTTTCTTTCAAGAACGACAACTATAATTTGAAGTATAAATAATGATAGATAAACCGTTGGAAGTTAACCGCGTCGTAGAGACGTGCCGACTGATTCAACGTCGAGGTAACAGCGCGCATTTTCGTGGGCGTGGAAGCACGGTATCGAGACGGGAAAATTAAGGACGATCGGCAACGAGCCGCGCGCCTCGGGTCACGGCGGCCATTGCGCGTCTCACTTGCTCGTTCTCGCTAATCCGTATTGAACGCGAGAGTGCGCCACCCCACTCTTCGACTTGCCGATGGGCCCCGACTCTTAAACTTCGGTTATCTTCGTAATTCTTCGATCATCTTCGTTTTACCGAAGGGACTAACCGCCAAATTTAAATATACCCACGAATTTAAACGATTTATTCTTTATTTTTAATTTATTAGCTTGCATATTCATTATTTTATTAATTGTATAATTGAAATTACAATAATTTAAAGAATAGTTTTCTAATGTTGTCAAATAATTAGAATTACTTTACAAATTTTGTTCAAGTAAGTAATATAAGTTTGTTTTTGTGAAGGTTTTACCTTTCTAAAATAGAATTTTTTAATACTATGAAAAATGATAAAATATATATGGAGTATTTTTCTAATTTTAATTGGAATAAAACATATTTTCATTATTTTTAGCTTATGTTTTGTTTGTTTGTTTTTTTTTTAAATATAGATGGATATGTACCGAGTATCTAAAAGACGGAGAACTTGAAAGGTAAGTATGGCTCACATCGTTCCTTGGATCGGAACCCGTTACTTTCTCGTCCCTCTTCGCATCGAGGGACTCGATCCTGCCCCTCACACCCCTTCTTCATTCTCGTTTCAGAGTTAAAACTTGTGCTGCTCGGTAAGAGGGAAAAGTGGATTCCAAAATACTCTGGAATTTTGATTATGCAGTAGTCGATTAATCGAGTTCATTGAATTTTGTTTTAAAAGTTTATTTTATATTTTTTCTGTAAATTATTGAATATGATCTATCGGTATCGATTACAAGCTCTTTTAAAAAATAATATTACAATTCTGTCGCTTGATATGAAAGGTCAACACGTATATTGGAACTTCCGGTGATCGAACGGTATCGAACAAAAGCCGTTCGAGACAATAATAATTGACATTCAAATAATCTAGAAAAATGTTATCCTAATTCTTGATAAGTTCCAGTTACTATGAATTAACCAATTGAATAAATGCTAAGCTTCAAAATGTACTATACAATTCAAACCGATGATCTATAATATAGATTATTTAATAATTATTCAAACTAAATGAAACACATCAATACGCTAAAAAAAAATATTTATCAATGAAAAATTAAATATTAATTTTTGATAATAAAATTAGAATAATACAAATAAAAAAATGGGTTATCTAACTGTTGTCCTGATTATGAAAAGACTTGTTCGGGTTAGAAACGATGTCGTCTGGGACGATCAAGATGTTGATCACGATCCTTGTACCGGTAGGTGACGATGACAATTATTTTCTCTATTAGTACGGTACTTCGAGCCAGATAAATTATAATCCCAGCTCTGTTTTTCCATATAATATTCATTTATCTATTAATTATTCGTCAATACTCGAATCTTACAATTTTATTTCTTACATAATTAATTGCTTTATTATTCAGCAGGTATATAATTTCACGTCAATTAAAAATTATATCTTTATAATATTGTCGAAATTAATGATTTCAATGAAATAATTTTTCAAAGTCGAACTTTATATCATCGATCGATGGATCAATAAGTAATACGTTGCGGTGTGCCAGATTTATCAAATGTAACTTCTGTCATTTCATGCCGTTATATTTTACGATCGAACGATGATCGATCGTTTATAGGCCATCTAAGAATATTATCGTTGTCCTCGTTTAACTTCGTAATTTAATATATCGAAGAGTACATTTCAGAAGTATATCATTTTACACAAAGGATTAGAATCATTCTCCTTTCCCTCTTTATTCTTTTACTTTTACAACATATTTTATTTCTTACTAAACACTAGTAATAATCTATAAATACATGTAAGTAATTGATAATATTCTTATTACTATATTTGTATTTACAAATTGAACAAATCATTTTCCTTTCGCTAACGTTGATCACAATACAAATTCCTGTGCCATTGATCTATATTCGATATTTTAAATAAATATTCTACTTGAGTATTAATTAATGCTTATACGTTGAATGAATTTTCTTGTTCTTGTGCAATAAATAAACAACAGATGTCTGAATTTGTGTTGTTTGAAAGTTTAAGAATGTAAAAATGATAACAAAGAGAAGAAATGTAAGAAATCGATCTAAATTCCATAGAAAAATTAAATTTATTTTGAATTAATTACACCGAACAAGGAATAGTCGTAAATAATATTAAGTTGCATTCTATGCGATCATAAATAAAACAGGAGTCTAATTACCTCTATGATATTTCTTGAAATTCCATCGGAAAACCCTACGGGAGGTAACGTTAGTTATTTCGAGAGTACACACTTGCAGAGTTAGTTTTGCTTGCAACAGTCGTCTTTGTAAAATATACGACGCACAGTGATTTTAATTGCACACTTTGCACGTTAAATATCATTTACTTGTTTTTATATCATAAACGTATTAAAGTATACTATTATCGCATCGTACAGTGTATGTGTACACATTGTAAGAAGTAAAAATATCTTTGGGTTGAGACATCCGATTCTGTGATGAACATTTCATTGATTAAGCGAAAAAATAGAAAAAAATCGAAATAATAAATGAACATAAGTAAATGGTAGTAATAATAATAATAATAATAATAATGACTTAGTATACAAAATTGTAAATATTTTATTGAATGAATGAATTTTTTTTCTTTTCGTTAAAAGTAATAATATTAATTTATAGAAATAAATGAATAAAACGTTTGTAGATAAGTTACGTAAAAATATTTTCAATTTGATATCGGTTGAAGATGATATGGCAAGCATATAGAATTTGCAAGAAAGAGTAGAAAAGATGGAATGAGAAAAGGGGTGCAGTAGAAAAAAGTAGAAGAAAGAAAAATAAAAAAAAAAAAAGAAAAGAAAAAGAAATAGAGAGGAAGAGATTAGAAGTGGAATTTATGCTGGGCATTGCACGATAAGCAGTGCAAATTTGTTGTCGTCGTCGTCGTCGTCGTCGTTTGAAAGGTAAAAGTGAAAAATTAAGGTGTTAAAATATTAGCAAAGAGCGCATATAACCTTTTTTTCTTGGGTATATCATCATACGGTGTAAACATTTCTAAGGTTCTGACAGGTAAGTACTGTATGTTGTACTCGATATGGTGCCAGCGAACTTTGTTTAAACAGTCTCGAGTTAAATACACGTATAAAGGGAGAAGTGAGTCTAAGTTGCAAGCCATTGCGTTAAAATCACGATGGCGAATAGTCGGGTATTTGTACTTGTGCCTTTAATAATCGTTACATTTTTGAGTGTCGTTTGGAATGAATCATATTTGGTTAAAGCCGAATTCGATGTTATTACTACCGAAGAAAATACTACGGAAGAGGAAAATTTAATGATCGAATGTCAAAATTCTGATTACAGGACATATATCAAATGTCTAAAATATAAAGGAAACAAAGTGAAGAGACATTTTCCTGAAATATCAACGGAAATAGGTAGACATTCTTCTTTTTATCTTAAAAGACAAATTTCATTATTACTTATATAAAATAAGAAAGATTAAGATTATTCTCTGAAATATTTGTTCCTTTCATTAGACCATGAATGTATGGACAAGTGTGTTAAAAACTGCAGAACAACAACAATACCAATTCACGATTGCAGTTCAAAATGCTCTCATTGTATAAGAAGAAGGAAACAGAAAACTCAAATCATTACGGAATACGAGACCGAGTGTATAGAGGGAGATTGTGATAAGAAAGATGATAAGCCTCCTGTCGTAGGCATGGCTAATATCACCACTAACATGGTTATTAATAATGTTATTCGCACTGATACAGATGGAACTTCGGATTCAACGACTAAACCGCCCTATCCCCCTACTCCTTCCCCTCCCCATCCCCATTTCCCTTCTGATTGCAATTGCACTTGCTGTGGTAAGTAAATTTTTATCGAAGTTTAACTCTTGTCTTATTTTTATTTCAAAAAGAATATTTAAGATTAGATAATGTTCATAATGAAATTTTTTGGTTGAAATCAGATAACTGTCCACCATGTCCACCATGGTGCTGTTCTCATCATTATAATCATTTTGGAGGTTTTTATGGGGGCTTGCAATTATCTTTGGTACCACAATTAAATTTGGGATTAGGCCTTAGTCCATCGTTTAATTGTATTTATCCATATCATTGGTTTTGCCATCATCGTTATCATTACCATAATCCAATACCGTCATCAGGAATAGATTGTTCTGGATGCCAGTATCCAGTTAATCAATACAGATGTCACTCATCTTGTTATGGATACGATTCATATGGTCCACGAATGAAAAGAGAGAAAACACCTTGTAAGAGTCCCTACTGTGTTGGAGGAATTTAGATTTGTTTCGAACAATTAATTATGTCATTTATAATAACAAAAATCACATAAGTATAATCTTATTTTTGAATGCAATCATCGTAAGTTAGAATAAATAATAATTGTAAAACTCGGTAATACTGTCAACAAGATAACATTATATTTTTCTATTTCAGCAACAGAATGAATCACTATGCTATCATATTATCTCAATAAGAATAGGAAGAGATGTCAGCATTACTCATTTTTTTGTTCAATCATTTAAAAAAAAAAAAAAACAGGAAAAATATGCGCTTTAGTATTAAACTTTCTGTATATTATGATTCACGTTGTAATATCTAATCGGAGTCCAATATTGTACTAATCATTTATATTATAAAATATGTAATAAAACACACATTATAAAGAATGTATTCATTCAATTAAATCGTTAGATTGGCGATGTAATAAAATAATTTTTATTGCAATTGCGTTTGAAATAAAGTTTGTGCCCCTGTAAGATGCAATTCTCTCGACAACTCGAAAAGAATAGTTGCGGTGAGTGTAGGTAAAAAGTTGGTATCAAGAGATAAATGCTTAATATCGAATTAAATAAATGTATAATTTTTATGGATAATAATCGTTACGTATATACTTATAGATAGTAATTATTCTAACTAACATTTATATATAATAAATGATTGATAAACTTGTCAAAAAAATTATTTTTCTAAAAAATAAAATTAATTCAATTAGAATACAAATTATTTAATAATAAAGAGATGAACTGTCAACTATTTTTTAGTGTTTAAACAATTGTCTTATCAGCAAAGTATGTGGAAATTTAAAAATACTAACACACATATGCAAGAACTGTCGTTGTACGTAAATAGAATACATAAGAATAGTACGTTCCTCTTCCTCCACATGCTGATTCTCCATCCTACACGTGAAAAGGCTGACCTTTTAGTTAATTTTCTCAGTTTATTCAACGTGTAATTTTTATATAGTTATTTACTAATCCACGAATATCTTTCTTAGAATAATTAGCTTACCGCGAAAAAGAAAACTAGGAAAAAGATTTTACGAGATTCCTCGTGTATTTTTGTTTTGTTTTTTTGTATACAATTTATTCATGGATATTGATGTATTACAAATTATGCAAAGTTCATTGAATTTTACATTCGTGTCGTAATATTGAAAAAAGAAAAGAAAAAAATAAAATAAAAAAGAAATATTGAATTTTCGATCGAAATAATCATCTTGAAATTGTTTCTCATTACGTTCCGATGACAATCTCATAAAAATCTAACAATAAGCTTCGAGTATTTGAAACACTTGTTGAATATTAGTATAGCCATTTTGTTTATCGTTATAAAGAACGATACCGTTGTTTTAGAAGAATAGAAAAAGATGGCATTAGTAAGTTTAGCGAAGATACTTAACGCTTAACTGTCTTCGTACAATTAGACCCCCTATAGAACAGAAGTAAGATCATCTTGACAACTATGACTATGACTACGACTACGACAACGAAGATGAGGATGAGGCTGATGTCAGGTGTTAGAGAACAGGTGCTCGAAAAACAGAAGCGTATATTTCGTTCAGGTGTACCGCAACGAAATGTTCCGCCATTACGTTTTACGACGGCTAAGAAACACGAGAAATATTGCTTCCGAGTCTCAGATCTTTCTTTATCTATCTTTTTCTCTATTTATATTTTTCTTTTCTTTTCTTTTTTTTTATCTAATTTCTTCCACGAGAACAGCTGAAATTGAGATGACTTTTACGTGGAAACATAATGAAATAATCCTTAATGGTATAGAAATAAAATAATACGAGAAAGTTTGTTAAATTTTGAAATATATTTTCATTTGCATATGTCAGAAATTATGAAATTATTAATTAATTATAAAATTGAAATATTATATGCGACACGTGTTACATTATAAAATAAAAAGATAAATCAAAATAGAAAAATAAAAAAAAGGGAAATGTACAATTGTCTTTAAATAATTACAAAAGAAATTTTTCGAACTATTAATTAGTATAAATAAAAAGATAAAGAGAAAGGAAAGGATATCTATCGATAGTTCGATTCTTGATGGCTAGAAAAGGATTTGATCGCGCTTCCGAAGCACGCGAGTAGGAGAAACGGGTTGGCATTCCCACGGCAGGATGCTACGACCACTTTCGCTATTATTCAACTTTATCCGACGTATTGCGAAAGGTAGGTAATAGGTTCACGTCTGTAAAGATATTTTCGATTGGGCTGCTTCAGAGACATTACAATCTTCTTGTCAGCCATTAATATATCCAAGTCACCACTCTCTATCTATATTTTCTTTTTCTCTTCTATTCCCTTTCTTTTTCTCTTTCTCTTTTTCTCTTTCTCTTTCTTTTTTTTTCGAATTTTTTTTCCCTTATCCAAGAATAATAAAATTAACTACGTTATTCTTCGTTGATATACAAATATATCGATTATTATTTCTATTTCTCTTTTTTTTTAATTTTATTTTATAATAATAATAATAATAATAATAATAATAATAATAATATATGTTTGCACGTGTGCAGTAAGAATGCGAACGAAGAAACTTGAAGAAAAAGATATGGGAAAAGATAAAATTCTAATTTCACGTTCGACAAGCGCATCATTGAATTTTACCCAAAGGAGAACACGTGAATGTTTGCACGTACATGTGATATAAATGAATATATGTACGTAAGCATGAATGAAATAACTTGTAATGACTAATGACAGGTAGGACGTCGCGTCGTGCAGCACTTATTTCACGCTTCGCCATTATCGATAGACGTTTGTAACGAGCGTGAAATCGAGCAGACCCGCAAACGGTAGCGCGACTGACAAATCGACTCATCATGACCACTATCTTCTTTTCCTATTTTTTTTTTCTTGTTAAAAATGTTATCTTTTCGAATGCACGGTTCTCTGTAGCGTTTGCTTTCATAAATGATACGATTGGATTAGTAATTCGTTCTCGTTGTACTTTCAAAGATATGAATTAACTTATTTATTTAAACACAGACACACACACACACACACACACATTTAACCATAATAATAATTAACTATAATGGTAATTACGAAAATTTATTTAAATGAGATAAGTGGAACAACAATATGACAGTAACTACGAATTTTACTTATTATCCTCATTATATATTTTTTTTTTTTTTAGATAGATAAATGCTTGGAAAAGGTTTATTTTTTTATTTTTCTTGGATTAATATTGTTTCGTTTAAATAAAATATTACATATCGTTTATTATTATTATTTACTTTTCACTACGAGCAACACGTGTTTAATGTATATATGCAACAAACACGTGCATCGTCAGGTGCACATACACGTGAATTCATTAAGTATACCTTAGACTTTGTTGTAACATTTTCTTTGAAATACACATATATTATTATAGATAAGTTGAATAATAATTGACGTACCTATGTTACACGTGAAAAATACTTCATACTTTTACAGTATATTAGAGATAAGTTTAAATTGATAGTTTTTGTACAAAGTTCTATTTTTGTGAAATCGTATTATTCATTGATTATTCTTAAATTAAACGAAGATTCTTAAATTATGATTTCTGTTTCTAACGTCAAACCATTTGTATACGGAAGTTGGGATAAATATCAATTTGTGTGATGATGTTACAATGTATCGTTAAGAATGAGGAAGAAAAAGAGAAAGAGAGGAAAAGAAAAAAAGAAAGAAAATAAAAAACCTACGACGACAACTAGCAAATAGTCTCGACTATGTCATCGTACACAAGTTCCTTGGACGATAAGAATTTATTTATTCAAGGAGGCGAAGTTACAGACCGGACAGCGTGGGCTGTATCGTCTTACCAACAATAGGCGAGGAATAACATCCTCCACTTGCAAAAAGAAACATACACAAACATAAAAAAAGATAAAAAGAGAGAGAGAGAGAGAGAGAAAGAGAAAATTCATTTCTACTCGCAACAATTGGCTTACGTTTTTATCTTATACAGAAGCTCGCTAATGATCTCCTTAACTTCATTTTATTTTTCTTCTTCTTCTTCTTCTTCTTCTCTTGTACCTTTATTTTATATTCTTAATCTTCTTCTATTTTCTCTGATCAAAGTTACGTGAGCAGTTAAAAAAATCTGTTCTCATTATTACAGATAAAATAAAATCATTCATTCAAATTTAATATAAAATCGTGGTAGATTTAATTTCGACTATTTTATGACATTATTACGTACTGATTATTATAAATAATAAAAATAGTCTTTATCGAACTTATCTTTATAACCTTAATATTTCAATTATTTCTTTTCGTAATTTGATTATCATTATTCATTCATTTAATTTATGTATATTCTTAAATAAATCGTATTTATATTAAATTTTTATATTTTCGAATATGGAACGATTTATTTAATTACGAGGAACGTCATTAGTCGAAAGTTTATATAGATAATGATTGTGGATGATAATTGGTAAAAGAGCCTCATAAAAGAGCCTCGTAAAAGAGCCTCGTAAAAGAGCCTCGCAATAAAGTCTCGTGTGTTTGTGTGCGACTGCATACTACGAAGCGTAGACACATATACAATAATTTCGATTCTGTACCTGTTTGTAGGTAGGAGCGATAGAAAGGTAGAGGAGTAAACAGAGATAAGAGCGTAGGTATTCGACAAAAGCCTCGCAAAAGAGCCTCGCAAAAGAGTCTCGTAAAAGAGCCTCGTAAAAGAGTTGCTCCCCCTTATATATCAAACATCCCCTTGTTTAGGCTGCTAAGCAACTTTCTCTCGTATCAACATCTTGCCAGGCACTAAGTTTGTCTCTATTTACGCTGCCAGGGAACGCTCTCCCATAGCTACAACTCAACATATCACGAACTTGCCCCTTGTTTACTCTACCTGGCAACGTACCCTTGTAGCTTCTTCACGCCGCACACGACACGCACACGCAACGAACGCTCCTACTCCCACACTCGGCCATTTCTCTCGAAACTTACTTTTTCGAAGGTTTCACTTCTAACACGTGTGATCTGCCCACATGATATTTTTTTTTTACTAACACGAATGCTTATGTTATACAAGCTCTCAACGAAATTAGTTCAGGATAGGTTTTCTTGTCTCATCGGTTAAATTCATTTAATTAATAATGCAATTAATTAATGCACTTTCATTTTTATTACGTGTTTTGTTCGTGGTTAGTAGTGGTGAAATCGAGCATTAATTTTACTCGTTTTCGTCTAGAAAAGCATGTAATAAATGTCATACATGCATTGTCTCATACTTAGTTTATTTAATTGCGGTTTATTTTGATATATCGATACTTCAATATTATAAATAAATGAGCAAGAAGACAAAATCATTCACGGCATATAGATTCTAG